ATAGATAGGTTCAGATCAAGCCTGGGATTCCCCATAAAAAAAGATAGGTCTAACACGTACTTTACAGAATTTTGAGGATTTTTAAAAAACTAAATATTTTTATCTTGCTGTTGATTTTTAGGTGGTAGCTGGTAGGTATCTCCCCTCAGGTGTCGTAGCTGTATCTCTTCCACCACCACAGTCCCTTGTGCTCTTCCCTCCTGGTTTGACTCCATTTCCTCCCCCTTAGAATTCTGAGCATTTAATAGAAAAGAGCCATCATCTCAGCTGACATAAATTCGGCCTCTGTTTTTGCCTGCATGCATGCTGAGTCTTCTCTAACTTGGGAGAATCTGCACCATGCAGATTTTGTGGAATATTTGGGCTGAATCTCACTCAGGTGCAGGTGGCCAGGAGGCTAAGAGGAAGGTGGAGGGAGCTGTTGGAAAAAGCGCCTTCACGGCTGAATCCACCAGTCCCCCCCCCACGCTTCTAAACAAGGGACCCAGGAATCCCTGCTGATTATGACCCTTAGCGTGTTTTGCTTGGCGCACTTTTTGTTGGTTTTTAGCATATCAAATGTTAGTTGCTAGTTTTTAAAAAGTAGGGAGATTCATCCAAAATTCAGGATATGTGGTTTCTCCAGAAAAAAAAAAAAATCAGAAGATGGGTCCTCCAGTGCTTCCCTGCTGTGCACACTTCTGTTCCTGCGGGCCCTGTGGACCTTGAAGTGTGTGGCTCCTGCTTTCAGTAATGTAATAGCTTCTATTTTGTGGACCTACCCTGGTGGCTCAGTGGGTTAAAGCACAGCATTAAGTAGCTAAAGCCACTTCTGCCCGACTTTGATCCCCACCTTGGAAGTGAGCCACATGGCACAGCAGACCTCTCCTGACCGCCCCGCTGCTCCCCTCAGCAGTGTACCTCGTCAGTCGGCCTGTTCTGCTCCCACTCTGTCTCTGGTGAAGCCTCTCACCGCCTCTGCACCTCTGGCCTGTACCGAAGTTCTGTATGCATAAATAAATCTTTAAAAATCTTCCATTTTGTGTAAATTACTGAGATTTTGCTACCTGAAATTCCTTTGCATTTTGAAATATAAATGAGAAAGAAACAATTTCTGGTTTTCATATATATTTTCATTTTGCAGATTTCCATCCTCTTCATCCCTTTAATTGACTTAAAAAAATATTAGCAGTGCTGTATAGGGTCATTGGGTACTAACACTAATTTTAAAAGTGCCATATAGCAGTCATGTGTAGAGGATGGAAATCAGTTCAGGTTTGCAATTACTCTACTTATATAATAATGATAATTAGCAGCTCCTTAAATTAAGGCTTCATATTTTATGTGATTTTTATTGCTGTCTAATCTGTACTATATTGAAAATTAGCAGGATTTTATGCCTTTGGCTTATACTAGTTAAATGAATTGCTCACAACTATTATTAACATAAGCAAAGTGAGAATGATAGGTTTTTGAATGTTAACAACAAAATACAGGGTAGACATGAGTTAAAACGTGCAGATGTCTTCATGCCTCAATCCATTTAAAAGTACTGTAACTCTGCGGTGTCATCCCAGTGCCGTATTTGTGAAGTAAGCCTTATCAGGGTAGCGCTGATGTCTGAGTCATGATACACAATAGCATGTTTAAAAGACTATTTGATTAGTCATGGATATGCAAGACTAATACCTTGAATCCTAGGTTTTGTGAATTATTGCCAATTATTTTGAAGTTCTGCAACCTTATACGTAATTTCTTGTTTCTAGTGTCGTCTGTGTTGGGGGAGATGGATCTGCCAGTGAAGTTGCTCATGCTTTGCTCCTTAGGGCCCAGAAGAATGCTGGGATGGAACCAGACCACATCCTGACGCCAGTCCGAGCGCAGCTCCCCCTGGGTGTGATACCAGCAGGCAAGGGAATGAATGGCCATAGCCCTTCAGCAGAACTTCTCCTCCTAGCTTTCCTTGACTCAGTTTCCAAGCTAAGTAGCGTGCACAGAGTTAGATGCAGCATTTGAGTCTGAAAGACTGAGGTTTGGCCTCTCTGCTCACAAGTGTGGACTTTGGACAGATTATCTGATTTTCTCTGAGCCTGGTTTTTCTAATACATAAAAGTGAGGTAACATATATAATATCAACAGTACTATAAGGTTATTATAGTATTAATTTAGATGGTAGATACAGAGGGTTGAATATAGAGTATTGCAATCAATAAATGGTATGATTATTATTTTACCTGTCCCACAAAAGTAGAATCATCACTGAGCCCAGTTAGGTTGCTCACAAAATGGAGTAAAATGTAGGATTCCCGACATCAAACTATAAACAGATAATGTGGAGAAATCCAGAGAGCCACCTCCTCACTAGCGGGGTCAGAGCACGGGAGGGCGAGGCTGGGCTGTGTTTCTCTATTTACTACTGTATCTCTGCAGCTAGAGTAGAAGATACAATAGTAACTGTCAAAGCTGATTAAAGGCACGAATGGAAAGAAGACATTATAAAATAAATAGCACTTAAGTTAGGCCTAAAGATGGGTAAGATCTGGTCTGAAGAGCAGGAGCTATTTTCTTGGCTGCAAAAGTAATAAATGCCAAGGCAAAACCCAGGAGGACTGAGGAGCAGAAAACAGTTGGTTTGTTGGGTGATAATGACATCACAGGAGGCCCAAGGAACAGTGTGACTGCTGGTGCCCGAGGACTGGTACACAGGGAACCTTAGGAGTTTCAGCACAAGGGCATGCCTACTGGGTAGCCCTCCTAGGGGGATTCTGAGGGGAATGGAGTAGGACAGAGGGACCTGAGCTCCAGAGAGAAGAGCTTACACCAAAACTGTGGCCAGGAAAGAGGAAAGCATCTCCCACCAGTTTATGCTGTTTGGCAAGTCACTCCTTATTTAAGCAAACAATAGTGAATATGATTCTTTCTTTCCATTTTAAAAATATCACACATTATTACCAATATAAGAAAAGCCAAAAAAAATTTCCTTCTGGAAATAGGAAAAAATACACAAGCTGAAAAAAATTAATTTCATTTGATAATGTTCATTGATATGAAATTCAGTATACTTAGTATTGTTAAATTGGTTTAAAAAAAAAAAAGACATATGGGTGCCCTTTTAGAGTATAGTATTTTTCTGAAGCAAGGATTTAAAGGAAGATGGATATTGAAATACATGCTGATCAGTGCAATGTTTATAGTGTAAACATTTTAATGGACTTTGGGTAGAAGACAGCAAAATAATTCCAGGTAGAAGAGAAAATAGTGCTGTGGCCTGTGTCCCTGTACTAACACTGTCTATAATGTGCAACTTTTGAACAGCTCTCTTCCTGCAGAGTGGATGTGCTCAGGTCACTGTTTCTCTTCATTAATCTGATGCTCCTGAGGTCACCTGCTCACGGCCATGCACCTAAAGTGCAGGGATGTTGTCCCCATGAGCATGCATGTAACAAGCACAGAGTGGTTAGCTGCAAAAAACGGGTGGTTATTCTTATCTTTAAAAATTTCACTCAGATTTTAGAGAGGAAGAGCACTGGATTTTATCATCATTGCAATTTTTAAGCATATCTTATTTTGAAAGCATTTTCTATATACGGTGGATATATTTGCAGAAATGCTACTTGGACACTTTTCTTTTGCAAATACAGCCTGTTGTTGATGTATAGTATCCAGGCTACTGATTCCATATAAATAAGGAGGAGGAAGTTCTATGTGGGATGTATTTAATATGAGGACTCTATGCCTAGTCAGGGCTTTGATAGTCACAGAATGGGAATGAGAACTAAGCAGGAAGTTTCCCAGCTAAACACAGAAGACAGTCTGCCTTTGAAGCCATTTACCTCCTGGAGAGAGACACCCAGAGGGAGAGTGTTTAGTAAATTACTCCACTGAGCCAACAGACTAAGCTGCTGAATTATGGTCAGACTCAAATGGATCAGATGTGGGGAAGCCTGTATTTGAACTGCTGGCCATTAGCAATGGTGTTTGTTGCTATGGGAACTGGTGCTAAGGAACTACACTGAGAGATTCCGATTAAATGGGTGTTGGGGGGAAGCTAGGGGACATAAAAATAAAAAAGCAATCCAGTTGTTGTAAAACAAGGTTCAGTCCACATACTGATGGCTATGAACCATATATTCCTATAGAGTTTGCATAAATAAATTCATGCTTTCCAATTAATTTGGGCAGAATAAAATATTGCCAAGGGACTGTTAATTTCTATGATATTTCAGGCAAAGAACCAAAGTGTAGGTGCAGTTTTCATGAGAATTTTAGATATGCTTGACTAGGAAGTCATTACATCACATTTATCTGTTTGGATGTGGGAGACATTAACGGCCTTATGAATATTCATGGTGTCTGGTTAATTAAGTTAATTGTTCTGCAGAAGTGCTTGCACTTCCAAGGACATTTTTTTTTTTCTTTCTTTCTCGTTGCCTCTGTTGTTGCAGCCCGATCCCTTCCATCAGTCATGCTTCACATGAAAAGCTCCTTCTGCCCTACTCCTGGTACTTGGCACCTTTTAGCAGGTCTGGGAGGTGGTAGGTGGGCAAAGTTGCTGGTAGCATTAAGGAAAATAACTTTTCAAGCTAATTAAAATGTTTACCTTGAAGTAGAACATTTATAGCTTTGGGAAGGATGCTAAAATTATATAGTTGCTTATGTGAGCAGTATGTTCTTTTGGCATGTAGACATCTTCTCAGATAGAGTACAGTTTCCTGAAACAAAAACTCATCTGTTAGCTTATCCCAACAAAAATATTGAACAATCAAGTTTTACAATTTAACATCCATTTTTCTCAGGAACTTTTTATTTTAGAATGTAAAAGACTGGTTGAAGATGATGATATAGGATACTCAAAATAGATGAGTGAAATAATTTTCTGATGTGTAGCCATGTCTGTCTTCACTGCCAAGTTTCAGGGAATTAAGGACAGTCTGCAAAGTTGAAAAGCATGAGATGTAAAAAGAAAAAGCCATCATTCTGTAAGAACTTGTGCTTGGGCATACTAGTGCATACTTCAGACTTGCTGCAGAAAAAAGAGGTTTTATTTTCTTGAGTCATGATATGTGTCATTGTCTATTGCACATGACAACATTACATTGTTTTATAAATAGCATTTCTGGAGCAGTGCTTTTATGATCTCCTCTGATTAGCCATGGTAATGGGGGAAGTGTGTTTCATGGACTACTGTAATCCATCGGTCATCCTAAATATCTCTCTAATTGCGTGACCTACTCTAAAACCTTTACCATAAATCTGATTGTGAAGTAAGATAGATTGATTTGTTTCCTCTCTTTTCTGTATTCTTTCCAGATTAATTAGAATTAGATAGCCAAAGGACAGGCAGATCATGGCGGGGGTTGGGGAAGTCAGTGAATAACGTCGAAGGCCTAGATAATTGACTCCTGGATAAAGATCCATTGAAGAGCAGACTTCTGGACCACTTACAAACCTTAGGGTGGAAGTGAATCACTATGAAAACTTGCTAAACATGGCCATTCTACTCCTGGATATTCCAGTGCAATGAGTTGGGGGGGGGTAAAATTAGCATTTTTAACCAGAACCCAGATAACATAGCTGGTGCTGCTGATCTCGGGATCACACATTCTATAAAAGTGCCTCTCCAAGTTACTGTGCATATACTATCAACTACAAATCTGCTAAAATTCAGACTCTGACCCAATGGGTATGGAGAGGCATCTGTTTGAGTCAACATAGTAATAAGCACCCTGCTATTGCTATTGGGACTAGACTGTATTCTGAGAAAAGAAGAATCAGAGCCCAACTTCGCTTTCTAAGAATCATTGGGTACCAGCTATCAAATTGGCTAGTATACATTTTTGTAGTGGTGTTAGTACAAATCTGGAAATCATTCTTAGGTAGGTCCCTAATTAATATTACTGTAATGACAGTTTTGGCTGATAATATCTAAATTGCCTTAGCTTCTCCAATTGAGTAACCCAAACATCTGTCTGTCCAAAGTCACAAAAACTGAATAGGTTATATGTGGCCACATAGGAATGTGCCTAATCAATCCAGGAGCCCAGCCTCTGCCTTGATGGGATGGTACATAACACATGCTTTCAGAGCTCCTGCCTGTACTGGACTTCTTTCTTGTTAAGAAAAATTATAGTTTAACTCTTAATTTTTAAGTCCTTTAAATCTCTTATCAATGGCAGGGACCCCTGGTATTTGTCCCTTTACCCTAAGATCTCAAACACAAAGATAATAGGAGCTTGACTTGAGAGAGCTCATTCCCTCTGTATGTTTGGTAAAAACAAAATAATTTAACCTTAACTTATCCTAAAGATTATGAAAATAAGATCTCTGGTTTCAGTACAGATCTTCATACAGTAGATATTATGGAGTTATTTTTTGCATCAGGGATATCATTTTTCAGAGAATAGAGAGGATCCATACTTGGATGAAATGTTATATTAAATTTTATTAGCTGTACTTAACACGTCATTGTATTAGTGCTTATGGATTTTTTCCCCGTAGTTATTTGGGTCTCTCGTCTATAATTGTCTGTCTCCGCTCTGCAGAGTTACTCTTCTGCTATTGGTGCTCTTTTTGGTATAGCAGTGGAAGCCAATATATAAGGATGGAATAGACTCTGATGTGGCTAGGATTTTAGGAGTAGGAGGAAGAAAAACAGACATTCCTGATAGGGAAAACTATAAACAATTTCTTAATTTTTAAGATTTAAAAATTAACTATGATTCAGGGGCCATCTAATGTCTAAACTGTAAATTAGGCTTCCATCAATTTTCATCTGCCATTTATATAGTGATATTTGTACAAAATAACAAATGTTTAATTTAAAATATAGAGTCTATTGATTGCCTTTGTTTTAAAATTGATTTGCAGGCTCCACTAATGTACTGGCACATTCACTTCATGGAATTCCTCATGTGGTAACTGCAACTTTGCACATTATAATGGGTAAGAATTCTCCATAGGAGTTCATGTTCAAATTTTTATTGTATAAGGACTCTTTTTTGACAAACTTATCTAAGGAAAAAGAGGTTCTTTGTTTCACAGAGCAGAAAAAAATGTTAGACTGAAACCAAGAGTTAATAAGATAAAGCTTACTATTTGGAATGGCTGTGTTCTTAGACTTTAGGCTCTGTTAGCAATAAATTTTTCCTTAATCTTGCTAGAAAAAGTAGATCAAGAAAATCTGTGTATACTATTGAAGTATAACAATGTACCAAGATCTAAGGGTTAGAATTATTATTGAAAGGGAAAAAAAATGACCACAAAAACCCTGTTTTTGCATGTCCACTGGACCTTTTATTATCCCAGTTGGTGGTAAGTATTTAAGCACAGATAAAGTAAAATGGAAATTTATTTATACCTAAGTTTACTTAGATATTTATTTAAGCTTCTGTATTCGCTGCTTTGTTTCTTCTCTTAGTACCTGAAAAATGTAGAGATGGCCATTGAAATAGTGTAGGACCCTGCTATAGGTTATATGTGGCCACATAGGAGTGGAGAAAAGGCAAGGATACTTGTTACATAAAGTAGCTTGAGATTCTCTTCTGACATTAAATGTGCTCTTCTGCAAGCCATCTCCAGCCCTCCTTTACTGGCTGGCTGGCTGACATGTAACTTAATATTGAAGGTCACGTGCAACCAGTTGACGTCTGTACCTTCAGCACCACTGGCAAGCTGCTTCGATTTGGGTTCTCAGCTATGTTTGGCTTCGGTGGAAGAACTTTGGCCTTGGCAGAAAAGCATCGATGGATGTCCCCTAACCAGCGAAGGGATTTTGCTGTAATTAAAGCTTTGGCAAAACTTAAGTAAGACTTTCTTAAACCAAAAGTTTCATATCACAGAGGCAAATGACTGTTTTAATTCATGTACCTGATTTACAATATTGCATAAGTTTCAGGTTATGCTTAGCTATCTGTATGTATTACATTACATACAGTTTCCACTCGTCACCATAATTGCCTCCCTTTACTCACTTTGCCTACTATCCTCTGGTAACCACAGTGTAAGCTTTTTCTCTGTTCTTGCTTTGTTTCTTTTCTCCCATATGAGTGAAATCATCCAATATTTGTCTTTCTCCATCCGTCTTATTTCACTTCACATAATTCCCTCAAGTTCCATTCATGTTGCAAATGGCAAACTATTAATTATAGATTTCGTTATATTTTAGGCCAGAAGACTGTGAAATATCATTTTTACCACATAATAGTTCTCAGGATTTACAAGAAAGGTAGGCAAAAAGCCTAAAGTAATATAAACATATCTGCATGTTTCTTTAAGAAATAAAATTTGGTATAACTACTAGGCTTGTGATCTTTGCTTTTCTAACATACCAGTGAGAAATATGGATGGTGGAATCCTTAGCAGGCCAAGTAGTGTTTCTTATGTCTTCAGAAACAATCACTCACTCCATTCAACAACTGTTAGTTCCTACATTACAGATACTCTGGATACAGTGAGTCAATGCAATATCTAGATAAGTAAAACCTGTAATAGTTTGGTCTACTGTAGCATACAGATATAAAGCCACACAATGGAAAAACTCTAATATTATAATCATTGTTGCCGATGTTACCGTAAGTAAAACATGTTATAATGAGGTTCAAAGATTTTGCCTACTTTCTAAGAAAATATTTAATGTATGTAATGTTGTGTTCTCTAATTTTCTCATATTTAATGGATGCTACTTCTGTGTATGATTTTTTTCCCAATTTTTTGGTTTGTTTTAGGGAGGCACAGGGATCTCCCAAACCTGGTAAGTATAAAATGATCTTCTTAAGAACTGAGTCAGGCTCCATTGAATTTTGCTTTGTTGAGGGAAAATAACTGATAACTTCATTACCTTTAGACTATAATGGTCACTGGCGAGTGGTCCAGGGGCAGTTCTTGAATATCAGCATTATGGCAATCCCTTGTCTGTGCTCGGTGGCACCTGGAGGCTTGGCACCTAATACCAGGTTAGTAGCATTTTTATTGAATTCTGGATACTTTTCTATAAAGCATACTACCCTCTCTCTTGACCAATACAGAATTTTATGTGGAGGTATTGTCTTTGTATAATTAGAGATTTGTCTTCAGAGTAGGCTGAGAACAACCTTTAAACTGGAAATATTGACAATTTTCATGTTTCAGGATCACTATGGTTAAAATAATATTCCTTGAATTAGTGATATATTTTATTATGTTTTGCCTATATACCTACTTTAATAGTGTTGAGAACACTATTCTATTTTGCTATTTCTATGACTGTTTTCCAGTTTTAGTGCAGACATAAATATCCTTAGCATGAAAAGCACATATGTAAGTATACTTGATAATTTACAAGGCAAAGGAAACATTTCAGTTATATTTACTGTAAATAGTGGTATATATAATGTGAATCTATTGCCCACATTATCTGTAAAATAAATCATGATCTGTTTTATATAATTTTAATCTACAAAGCCGATATTCTGTATCTTATATATTCTTTTCAAGCATCTAGTCGTTATTGGTCTAAAATATTTCTCTCCTACTGCTATCAAGAAGTGAGGAAAGGACCGTGAATATTACTATATATTCAAAATCTAGATACTTTTTCTGGAAGTGGAATGAAAGAATAGCTGATTATTTAACATTATTTAAAGAACGATTTTCAAGTTTCCTATAAAATATTTAACCAAAATGATTGTCAGCAAACCGTATAGATACAAATTTTTTCCTTGGCAATTGAAATGAGGGAAATAGATTCATATGTACCATGGTTCAAACTAAAGCAGAAAAAGTAGACTTCAGACTTTGATGGTAAAAATCCAGATGCCAGAAAGGACTATTTGAAGCTTGTGTGATATTGTAATTGAGCTTCAGCCCCCCACCCCAACATACTCCCAGAAATCTGATAATGTTGTACCTTACTAGCTGGTTAACAATTAAAGAGACTGTGTTCAACATAACTAGGTAATGCTTAGCTAAGCCCCTTCCCCTGACACATGGGAGGTGGTCTGCTCTTTTGTTTATTCTCCAAGCTAAATCAGATTGATGAAATTTTCAGAGAAGGATAACTAGAGAATTTTTCTGTGGGTTGCAATCATGTGTCTTATTTTTGCATGATTTTACTGAGTCTTGGCTGACCAAAGAGATCTGAGTGATTCAGGATAATTATACCAGAGATAATTTTTCTTCAATTATAATTTACTTCAAAATATCTGTCACTGATAGGAACTAATACTTATATTCTAAGATTAAACATACCATATACATAAAACATTTAGAATAGATCCAGAAACATGAGGTATGTTCTCTTCTCTGTGTGCTTTTGAAAAAGTCACTGATATGTGAGGTCTCCATTTTTTTCTGCTAGAGTAAAATGAATGACTAGAAAATCTTCAAAATCCCTTATATCTCTAATATAAACTTTGATCAAATGGAAAGAGCTCTTTATGTCATTGTTACTCCTAAAATAACTTTACATTTTCACTGAAATAAAGTTAGAAGTGATTCACATGTATTTATATAAGCTGCCTTCTAAAGCTGGATGCATTTGTGACTGGCTTTTTTGGCACTAAATCACACCTCTAATTTTGCAGTCTCATGTATTGTGCCAAAGAGTTACATAATATTAAATGCCCAGTTAAACTATAGCCAACTGGCACTGCATGTTTGCTCTAATGCATCCATCCAAGTCCACTTTGACTTAGTGTCCCATGTCATCTAGACCTAACATAAGTAATTGTTTCAGTTACTTTAGATTTTGGAAAGTGTTGAACCATTTATATTAATTTTACATGTTGAATTTCGAAGTAAATAGATTTTAAATGCTATCTTGATGTTCAAATAGGGTACATATTAGTTTGTGTTTATAAACTGTAAAAAATTGCTGAGGAGTCAGTTGCTACGACTGATTTTAAAAATACAGGAAGGTTTAATAATTTTAGATAAATATGGTTTAGGCTGTCTAAAGCTTCTAATATTTGTCAGGAAGAATGAAATGAGAATTTCTAATATGATCCCTTAATGAAATTTTTACTATGAAAAAATTCTTAATTTCAGATTAAATAATGGGAGTATGGCTCTTATAATTGCACGAAACACTTCTCGATCAGAATTTATAAAGCATCTGAAAAGATATGCCAGTGTTAAAAATCAGGTAAAATTTTTGTTATTTTCTTAATGTTTTTCTGTGATACCTTCATCATTAATATTAGTGCAGGTTAGCCTGTTTTTAGGTAGGTGTTGATGTTTATATACATGCTGTTTGCCATTGTAAAAATTACTGAAACCTGAAATATTTTTAGCCTTCTTGATTTTATGGCAGCAAACTTCCTCAAACATCTAAAGTTGTTTCACTTTGTGAAACAAGACTTCATGAAACCCAGAATATGTGGCAACAGATTATATTGTCTTATGGAATGTGTTTGAAGACATGCAGTAATTACTTACACCTAGGATCCATCTCTAAAATTTAGGTCTGTGTCAATATCTGAAAGGGTGAGTCTTAAAGTATAAAATCTCCCATTCTGTTCTCTGCAGATATATGCTATTGTTGCTCCCAACTGCAGAGCAGAAATTGAGGCATGTCTTGGCCTCTAGGTAACCATGGAGTCCAAATCAGGGCCCACCCTTGGTTAGCTGTGCGTTTATAGTTTCACAGAGCAAGTTTCAATGACACATAGTATATTTATGTCAAACTGTAATGTATATGACTTGAGGATTAGTCCTAACTATAAGTGTATATTCCTACAAAAGTTACTTTATAATACATTTTTTTAAACTAAAACTTCCCTAAACAAATAAGGAATTTGAAATTTTAAGGTTACTTTGTGCAGAGTGGTAACAACCAAACTATCTTCATGTTCATAAATTTAGACCTAGGTGGTTCCTAAATTGCATTTCCAATTGTTAGTTTTACATCAGCTATACTAGTTCACACATTAATGTAGTCAGTGGAATATATAAATGTTCTATACCAACAGGCTAGTATTAATCAATTACTAAATTTAAACAAGCCAATAAAACTTTCTTCCTGAAAACAAATTGGGGGTGGGGGAGAGGTGGTACAGATCTCTAGTCATGAGTAAAATTTCATAGCATCAAAAACAGCATTCATGTTGCAGGAGAAAGCAATGAACTTGCTTTTGTTTTATTTAGTTCAGTTTTCCATTTGTTGAGACTTACACGGTTGAAGAAGTAAAAGTTCACCCAAGGAATACCAGTGGGCATGATCCAGAAGAGGAAGATCAACCACAAGAAGTTGCTTCAGAAAAGAATTTCCCTTGGAATGTAGATGGCGATTTAATGGAAGTTGCATCAGAGGTCCATGTTCGGTGAGTAATTGCTTCGCCATTTAGATGGCCACCAGTAAGTGACCTTCTTGTCACGATGAAAATTGTTTTATAAACAGATTATAAGTAATCCTGTTTGGAACTTAAGCAGAGCTACAATTTAATGTCCCAAAATCATTCAACCTTAACTAATATTTTACATACACTTCAACCTACTTTGAACAGAAACAACTTTACTTAAAAAAGGGACAGAGATATTCTTGGTAAGCATAATGAGTCAATCAATGGGTAGAAAAAATGTAGGGGTGAGTTCTATAGCCCACTAACTGTGAGCTTGCTCTAGACACAATTGGATTTTAACAGACAGAGAAGCTGGTTTAGAAGGGCGTATACTACTAACCTTTAGTGCTAATTTATCAGGCCCTCATTTTTTCTGATATGTAGCCATTTCATATATTGCCATGGAAATGAATGCAAGGTACTGTTAGAATCATGTGTAAAAGATACATGCATGTAAAATAACAAAATAATTAATCTTGTTTTCTCTATAGACTGCATCCAAGCCTTATCAATCTTTATGGAGGAAGCATGGAAGAAATCAATGATTCCAAAGTAACATGTAATTGTTTATAAGATAAAAGTGCTGATTAGTTTTAATATGAAAAGAAAAAGGCATACTTTTAACTATTTTTATATTAAAACTTTGTAGAAAATTCCAAAGGCAAATAAGAGTTCCTTCTGTTTCCAAGATTTGAGTTCAGCACATGTTACCAAAATTTCAAAATTATACATTTTTTTTTGAAAAATATATCAATACTTGCCAAAAAAACGTAATTTGTGAATATCCTCTAAGTTAAAGATGCTTCATGTAAACTACCATTTTAAATAGCAGGTAGGAATCTTGCCCTGAAAGTCATGTTCTCTGATAATTTCTAAAATGGAAAATAATCACACTTAAGTTTCCTCAGGGCTCATTCTTAGAAAGAATGTTCTAGATTTTAATGGAAAATCAAACCATTCTCCTGACAGACATCTAACTTTTCCAGCCACCAGTCCTAGACCACACATCGATCAACTTTCAGGGAGACACCTCCTGCAGAGACTTTGCCCTTAACCATAAGACTTCCCTCTGGTCATCCACATAACAGGCCCATTTTCAAAATTGTACATAAGGACAAAAATATATCCATATGAAGATGAGACTGCTTCATTAATAAAGCAAAAGAATTTAAAGAACCCTTATCAATATCTTATACATTGTAATTTACATGAACTAAAGCCTGGTCTTCACAGTTTTGCTTTTTAAGAAAATGGCTACTACAATAATATTTAAATATAACCTACTATATTTGTATTTCAAATATCAGCTGAAGTGCAATATTTACAACATTCCAGAGGTTTTTATTTTTTTGGTGTAGATTTACTCCTAGTTATCTTTCATAAAAATGGTATCAAAGACTTACACCTAAATGAACATTCTTTAAAAACTTCTGTATAATATATACATAAATAATGTAAAACCAGTATATAAATTTGCTCTAACTTTTTCCTCAATAAAGTACATGATTTACAGAATGCTAAATAAGTGTCTTTTAAAACAATGACTTCTTTATTCATTAGAAAATTTGGGAATAGCTCTTACAATCGCAAACATTAATTTCAAATGAACCAGAATGCAATGCAGTTACCAAGGCAAGACAGATGGTAAGTAATTTCTTTTAAAGTTTTTCTTGAGGAATTACCTTGAATACTTTAAACACTTGTAAAAGTTATTTTTGGGATATATTAAATATTACCTTTGCAGTTGTTTTTTCAGCATAATCACCATTTGGAATTTTTGTTTGCCTTTAGACAAAATGGTGAGTAAAAGAATCACAGAAATATAAGCAAATTCACATTTTTTGGTAAACATTTTCTTTAACCTGAGGTTTAGTTCTCTCACTTTGAAAGAAGTCTTTAATCATCATCATTTTGACTCATCACATAACTCCAACTGTTTCTTTTTTCTTCTTCTAGGATAGTTTTGTACTGTCTTTTAAAGAAGCCAGCCTGAAAATAGCATTGCATAGTCATTAATATGTAGTTATTTAGTGTCCCATGTGACCAGTGAAAAAACATTTGTTATTTATTACTCTAGTACATCTCATTTTCAATTATTTTTCAAAACTATTCTACAATTTAAACATTTGTTGAAAAGAGGTTATCTTTTTAAGAAGGTATATTTTTGTAGAAAGATTACAATATTGAAATTAAGAGGAACATGAATCAGTGCATAAGCATTTGCTCTGAAAGCCACAAATTCACTTTGAGGAAAATCAAGAATAGCATTTAGAGTGCTTTAATATTGATTATGAAAGACTTACCTTCCACATGCCAAAGGAAATCAATAGAAGTAAAAGAAGCCCAAGCAACAAACTACTTGACAGAATCATTATTTTGAAAGAACGTTTGGGTCTTTGATGATGTATTCCTTCAAGCAGAACCTACATAAATTAACCAACAAACAAGCACTACTTTTAAAACTTGCTTGTGTTTCCTTTCAAGTACCCCTCCACAACCCGGCAATCTTGATCACCCAACCCGTTCTTCCACAGCTATGACTTTGTTCCATGGTTCCACTCCACCTTACCAAGTTTACCTACCAGAGGAGCTTTGTCATTCCCTCTTGCCAGTTTCAAAAAATGTCACCTCTCAGTAAAGATTATTTTCTGAGATATTCAATACATCATATATATATACAACCTAGCAATGCTTTTTACTACAATTTTAAAGTTTCATTTAAAATGTTGTTCTTACTTGTGCAACATTCTCTTCCTTGCTCAGTTCAATAACTTTAGGATTTGGCTCTGGAAAGGCTGTTGCTCTTATATCAAGCTTGAGTGCTAAACTCTCATCCTGTTTAATATAAGAAAGATCATCAGAGTGAATTGCCATGCAATTTCATTGAAACCTGTTGAATTTTTATTCTCAAACAAAATATTCTTTGATAAACATTTTCTCAAATTTGGGATTTTTTTTAAATACATTTAATACTATAATGTAAAAATGTGGTACAAAATTAGCTGAAGAGCTCAGAGCTATCTAATACATAGACTGTAGATTCTTAAAGAGGGCTATAGCATTCAAACATTAAAATTACCATGTAAACTGTAATATTTTGAGAGAAGATGCAGAATTTCAGGGATGAAAATAAATTACATTATTTAGATTAAAAGTGCTTGTTTTCAAAAGGGATGATTTATCCCCTAGATATATTCTAGGGGAGTTCACATACAATATTTCTCAAAATACTTGTGAAAAAATACATACTTAGGAGGGAAAGTCGAAGTTTTTCTAAAAAGACTTATTAGTTTGGAAAGAACTTTAAAGTCATGTGAATTAATGTAGCCAGTTTCTTTGATTTAATCAAATTCTCAGCTGGATATGCTTTGTGAAATAAATCTAAGTACTCCATAGCCTATTGCCTATTTTAGAGTCTTATCTGTCATTGCATTCAGAGGTGAAATGGTAAGTAGAAACAGTTTAGATTTCACTCCATATTTATTTCTCCTAAATGATTTGAGTGCCTCCATGCATACCAGTCTACCTGTAACAACGTTGAAGTTGTAGATTCCAGCTGAACTTATTCATACAGTTTTCATTTTATTTTAAACTTACCATTTCCAAAAGGTATGGTCGGCCTTCCAGCTGAAAGTGAACACTGGCTTCTTTTCCACTTTCCATTTTTCCAAAATTGCATAAGAAACTTAAACAATATGGATCAACTTTCAAGCAGTACTTGAAAAAAAAATTCATTATTTTATGAACTTAATTTAAACATAACACTAAAGTAGTAATCTTATTTTACTGAGAAAACTGAAGGCTACTCAGATGAAAAGATCATCATAATGTCTTCACCAAATAGACATTTGTTATACAAATAATTCAGCAATATAGTATAAATTTAACTTGGGTCTATCTAAACCCTGAAAGTCATCTGTTCTTCACATGAACAAATGTTACCTATAAAACAGTGAATACTATATAAAACTGAAACTTACCAGTATTATCTTATCAGTCTTTGAGAAAAACATGAATGTATCTTTCACCTTGTCTATTATACTTTTTTGTTGTTCTAATGCACACTCTCTTTGATAATTCTTAAAATGGCATTCTCCAATACTAGTCTGTAAAGATAGAATGGAAAGAATAAAAGCATGTTACAAGTTTCAGTTGCTTAATTATCTTTTTTAGACTATCTCTGAAATTGTGAAAATATTGATAGGTTTGTAGGACACATATTCAAGGTCTATGGCAAAATTTTAAAGTTGAATATAGACTCTAAATATGTCTTTGGCTTTAGACACAAATTATTATGACAGCATATCTAACCACTTCAAGAAAGATTTAAATATATTAGAACTCAAACCTCCTTAGCAAACTCATTTGTTGATTGAAACAGAAGAGGTAAACACAATTCTAATGGAGTCAATACTGGCTTTTAAGTAGTGACAAAAACATCCCTTTAAAAAAAGGGTGATGTAGTATTCAACAATAGTCTCTAGAATTAAGGATAATTCCACCAATTACATTACTTCCACTGATCCATATCACACAATAAATGTACTGAAGATGGTGGAAGCCTCTTATTGTAGACTTCATTGTAATCCTGTAGTTCTAGTACAATCGATAGAATTCAAAATATACGCAGTAAGTGGAAGGTAAAGTCAGTGCTCAGAAACACACGTGATTGAAAATAAGCAAACAGAAGAAAGGAAAATTTTACCTGGACATCCAAAATGTTGAATAACTTGTGGGCTTGGGGCATAATTGCATTTGGTACTACTATCTCCACACTGACATTTGGAGCCATGCTAGGGCCCATGTTGATAACCTGATAAAGAAAAAGGTTTTCAATACATCAGTTAACTTTTAGTCAAACCTCTATGATTGCTACAAACACTGAGTACAGTCTGTAGTGAGAAGCTGTGCTACAAAGGAAGACTATCAAAAGTTTGCTAATAATTTCAATCTCTAGTAATTCCTGATGCTTTTCTTTTGGTAGACATGGCCCAAAATGTCAGGCACACAGTTTATTGCAGAAAGTCTTAAACAATAACACAATTTTGTATGATAATGAAGCTAAAAACGCATGATCAATTAGTCATAACTAGTCACCAACTAAGGAAAGAGCTAAGAGCCTTTATTATATCCAAGATGAAGGTTAAAGAAGGATTAGACCAAAACCCAAGTGCTCTAATTCCTTTGTTTACTTTTCAGTACAGATTGATTTGGTGAAATCAGTGTGTAAACTACATGTTAATTCAGAGAACTTCCAATTCTAAAATCAGAAAGCTATAGTTACTGGATTTTCTCTACAAGTTTTTACTCATAATGACTGAAAGGATCAACATTTCGTAATTGCTAATGTAGAGATTGCAGCCCCCACCCCCATAACAGAAAATGAGCCTTATAAGAGCTCTAAGAGCTTAAACCAATTTAAATAACATAATACATATTTGCAATCATTTTTGAAAACATGACATGGGTGAAAAGTGTCCATAGCTTTGCAGCAGGTTATAGTGGCAATAGGCACTCAGACCTTCCTGATGACAGCATATCTAGTTAGCTTACAGCATTCTTTACCCTTGTTTATCTAATCACATTGAGATTACAAGAATGCCATGATTGGACACACACTAGATGTTTCTCTGGTTGCATTCCACCTGCCCCCATTGTAACTAGAAATTAACTAAAGACACTGTTAATTTTACATTAAAAACAGGTTCTCCAGAGTTCAACTTCCATGGGGCTACAGCAGAGTTTGTGGGAACATCAACATGCAAGCTACATTTTTCAGCACTAGGGTAATAAAAACTTGAATATACTTTGAGTCTCAGTAGGGCTTCAAGGTCACTATTTCATAGATAGACTAGATCTGGGGCAAGCCCAGGAATTTGTATGTTGAATAAATACTTCTAAAGTATTCTGAAGAGCACTGCCTCAGCAAGTAGCATGTACTTTATCAAGACTCATGCATACTCTGGAGATTCTTATATACCTCAATCTTTGGACAGTACTGTTGGTTCCAAAAACATTTTTGTGGACATCATCTATTTACTAATCATCAGTATCCATGATGCACCAAAAACTGTTTAAAAGTAAAAAGTTTTAAATTAATTCTGAGTCAGAATATTTTACTTCTGGATATGGTAGTCCTCTACTTTTCAGTATTTTTTTTTTTTTTTCTAAAAGAGAGACAAGGTGGACCCTGACTGGAAAAGCTGAGGTGAGTGTTTCTTTTACATGTCCATGTAGAGGCTTGTGTGAAGCTAGATCCAAGGAGAGGGTCCTGATCTGTACCCAGAGACGCCTTCCCCGGCCTGTCATGTTTTCGCCCTGCATCTCTAACCAATGTAGTTTCTTCAGTAAATTTGCCTTTTTAGGGGTTACCTCTGCTCCTTGCTCTTTACAACTTGCATTGTAAAGGGGTGAGCTTGAGTACAAGACAATTGAGAGAAAAAAAAAACAAAAACAAAAACAAAAAAACAAAAACAGAATCCCAAGAAGAAAGGCTGTGAGTACACTTTTCCTTTCTACAGCTTCCTCACAGCTGCCATCAGGGTGGTGATTACCCCGACTGATGGACGCTATAATGAATCAGTATTCCTTTAGCCTTTTACAAATAGCAAAACAAGCAACTTACATGAAAAGTGAAGTTCATTTTCTCTTTCACACATGTTTCTGGTTCATTTTCTTCCTTTGGTCCATACACAAATGAAGTTGGATTTATGAATCTGATAAGAAAATAAAATTGAATTTCATCTTTTCATTTGATGAGGTATTACAAACAAGTTTGTGTCTTTAGACTGGAATATAGTATATATATTAAATATGTCATAATATAGAGTATGGGTTTCTCATAAACACCTTGGGGTACGTTTGGTTTCTTAGAGGAACATTTTAGTACGTAGTAACATGAGAAAGCCCTGTGCTGGGACAAGCGTGACAGCATCTCCTTGCCTGTCCAGCAATGCCTGGTCCATTCAGCTTAGCATTCCTTCCTTCTTAGTCCTTAAGTGATTTGTATAAATTTGGTAATTATGAGAAAATCTGTTTTTCCTAGAGTTCCAGTATATCCCCTATACCTTCCTTTATTTTGCCTATAATTAATTAATTTCTTCACATTCCCTTATTCTTGCTAGCTACTTATGAGTGAACCCCAAGTCTTGGGAAACAGTCAAACACTAGTGAGTATTTGTTAGAATACAAGTTTGTCACTCTTTAGATTGTGGGTAAGACACATACATTCAGTATTAAACCTCAGGAGAGATTCTTCTAGAGAAATAGTAGCTCATATTTGACAGGTAATATTAGGTAATATCAGATTAGAAACCCACTTATAGGAAAGCAAAACAGGAATTAGAAATATTCAGATGGTTTGCATTTAGGCTGTTTCATAGTTGCAGCATATGCCTTGCACAAAATAAAGACTTGCAAAATGGAAAAGAGGACACGCATAAGAAAATCAAGCAGAGAAAGTGAACAAAACAGCATCTACCATTGGCTTGTACTTGTTTATCCCACTGACTTTGAGTCCTACTCCCTGCTGGAATGGCTTTCTTTCCAAACCCTTTGCTGGTTCAATCTCACACACTTGATACTTCATTCCATCAGTTTCAAACAGATTTTTTTTATAGTTTATTCTATCTTTAGGTGTGATTTATATTTAGAGCAACAAGAAAGCTCATCTTCTATTAGTACTATATTTTGCTTTTAAAATGTGATTTCAAACAAACTTGGGGTTCACTCATAAGTAGCTAGCAGGACAGGGAATGTGAAGAAATTACTTAATCATAATTCCCAGTAAAATCATTAAAGTTTTCTTAACATCCCATTCATTCATTCACATTTGTTCTCGAAACAGAAGAATTCACACCAACAATTACCAAAATCATGAGTCATTGAAGTAGGCTTTGGCACTGTGGATGAAGAACTCCAAATTAGGGAATAAGGAGTAGAGAAGTCACTTGCAGCTGCCTCTTATCTTGCAATCTATTTGGGCTGACACAGGTTTGGAGGGAGGTGATTTGGTCTAGCCCCTACAGCTTTGAGCATCACTCGTGCCATTTTCAACTAGTATGACCATGTAAAATGCACATGACCCACATGCCATGTGGATGAAAGGCTTCCAGGACATTGCCACTAAGACATCTATCCCAGCTGGCACTGGTTTGACGTAGTCTACTTGATGATTATGCTGTGGATTACACTACTAAGGAGCTAATAAGCAATGGACTATGACATCAAGGTAATTATGAAACACAGTAACAGCATAGGGTCCTTTTAATTCCTTTAAAAATTATTTTTTTAAGTTGTTTCAACCAACAATTTTATTTAATAACTGCTTTCAACTGTAGGTGAGGCCTCACTATCTACTTACCCATGAACACTGAGCATAACCTCATACTTGAGAGGAATTGCTAAAGTCACTTTATTTTGCTTCATGTTGTCCTTTTCCCCTTCATTTTCACTATGAATAAAACAAAAATGCACCATATTAGAATCCATCCAGCACATAAATCATCTTAGAAATCATTACTACATCTCATGTAGACCTAACACATCTGCAATAATGCTTCTTTGGTGTTAGAAGTAAAAGCAGAAGTGGTAGTAAAAAATTTTAATGGCATGGCTGTAAGAAATTTGTTCTCATTATTTAAATTGATATTTACTCCCATGCTGGCAGATTGTGTGTGTGTGTGTGTGTGTTTGTGTGTAGGTTTCTTGACTCTTGTAAGCAAAATTTTTTTGCTATAGAGAATAGAACACAGGTTCATGGCTCCCTTAAAGTCCTCAACTCCTCCCAGGATGAGTCCACTTCCTTTAGAACAATTATTTTTAACAACAAAAGATACCAGGTGGCATGCACTGTGATGTTAAGGTCCTCTTCTGCTCTGCTCAGTGAACTTGCATCCAGGAGAAAGCTAACATCTATCTGTAAGAACACACAGGAAAAGCCCCGGATTATAATCTACAGTGCACATTTTATAATCTGAATTAAAAAATTACTTTTTTGTATCATCTTGTGGTCTGTGAAATGCAGAATCAAACTATGCTTTTATAGCCATTGACTAGTCCCTATATCAGGAGCAAGCTCCAGGGAAGCTGCCAGGTTTGTGGCAATGTTAACGCATCAGTGTTTCCACAAGTGATAGTCAGAGACAAAGCCTCTTTTGAATGTATAGACAGGCAGGTCCAGACTGACAAAATTAGAGATGCTTTAACAACTTGAGCGAGGACTCTTGCCAGAAACACCTTTTTGTATAGCAGAGGTAACATGCCTGGCAGACAGGGCCACCTGGGGTGGGGTGGGGGAGTGTTGCATAAGGGTGAGACATGGAACTGAATTGTGATTGACACATTCACATGCCCATGTTGACATAAACATGTCTCTACCCCCCTTTGAACAGTGCACGTTGCCAAGAAGGTAAACACAAGCTTGAAGGTCTCCAGCCCAATGCTCCTAATTTTATTTCATCACTCAGCTATTTACTCCAAGTAAAAAGTTGTAAATTTGTATTCAGCTTAAACAGGAAAAATGTTACATTCTTGTTACTAAAAAATTTAGATGCTAAATGCTTACCTTTGATAGATGATCTACAAATACGTAGCCAACACTGCAGTCAAGGTTCACTAGGCCAGAGTTGTCTGTTACTTCACAACTTATTTGCTTCTCTTCCTAGAAGGAAAATTAAATCAACTGGTTTAGGTGGGAAAGGAACAAGAATTTCTTAACATAATTCAAGGGTAGTTTTTGGAAAGAAGATCATCGCTAAAAAATTTACTTTCCTGAAAGATGATTTTCTTTTTTATTTTGGGTATAAATAAATGACAGAAATATGTGTGATTAGCTTTATTCTAATATTATACATTCCCCACAGAATTATTCTTGACTTGTAGTTTTCATCCGCATTTGTACATTCTCTATGTAATCCAAGGCCTAGTTCCTTGAAAAATGAGACAAGGAATTCGTAAGCTCCATTTCCCATTGGTCCTCTTCTGTCTAGGAGGTGATAATGTATTTAAGGTAACTGTATATAACAATTAACAATATGATACATGTAAATTCAATACATATATACTCAAATATTCAAGGAAATATACCTTTGTATGTGTATAGATACAACTTTCCTTGAATATTGGTTTCTTCTTACTGTTGCAAATAGGACACAAATAATCTTAAGAAAAAGGGTAATAGATATTTATCTGTGAGAAACCAATGGCTTTAAATGCCCGTAGTACAAAGGAAAGGTATCTGGGTAAATGATGGGTAAGATGATAAAAGTAGAGAGACTCAAAAGAGAAATGGAGGCTTTTCTTTTTGAAATTCAACTGCATTAATATCTGTTCAAGCTTATGAAATACCATGATGGATTTGCTCATGACTGAGGAGAGAAGTGTTATTTCTTTTCTTTAAGTTTCCAGGAAGAGAAAAACTTGTTCTGCAGTATATCTGACACCAGGATTTCAGAATTTGTGGAGGTTGGCTACTTCTAGTATATTGGAGCAGGACAGACAGTGTAAATTTAAAATGCAAAGTAGTAACTGGAAACCCAGTGGGGCAGACCAACAGTGGCTGTATAGGGGTATAATCACAGCAGCAAGTGAGGGAGTGCCAGTGAGAAGAGCAGTGGCATTCAAGCAGCTTTTTGGACAACTGAAAATTTTTACTCACAGCACATTGGAGGCAGGTAGTTGAATCAGTCTCGAGGAAGTTAATCCCCAAGGAATTTACTATTTGATCAGGAGCATGGAGGACTTTCAAAGTAAATGGAAACCCAAGTAATAAGTCTGAGTCTTAGGACTAACACCCAGGCATTCATATTTCAACTTTAAGTAAGTTACACCACCTATATATTTTTAAATAAAATACCATAGTGTCATGCTCTCATGGTTTTGGTTTGTTGAAGTAAAGTAGTTTTGCATCATTATATCTGCTTTGAGGATTGAGGGCTATAAATTGTCCTCTCCAAACTGTGTTTTCACCCCCTGCCCACCACCAGTGCCCCAACAATCCTCCACCTTGTTTCTACAGGTCCCTTTACTCTCTCACTCTCCATCTGGTTGCCTAAATTTCAATGTGATGGTAAAAGTTTATTTTTGGTTTGGTTTTGCCTGAACCTTTGCTTCATTTTCCTGTACTCCACAGGTTAAGTGAGATAATCTTTATTTCCCTTTCTACTTCTGACTCATTTCTATTAGCATTATCCTCTGCGGTTCAATCAGTGTTGTCGCAAATAGCAAGAATCTGTCCTTTTTCACAACTGGATAGTAATCCATCACATATTTTTTTTACACACACACACCCACTCACACACACACTATTCTGATCTATTCCAGTGTTGTTGGGCATTTAGCCTTGTTTTTGATACTTACCAGAGCTAGAATCTTAATGAAGTAAAGACCTGAGGGCACTCTGATATGCAGAGTTGTTTCATATGCGTCATCTCCGGCATTAAACAAGGATACATTCAACAGTAATGTCTTCATACTTCCAACAGCAAGATAGGTTTTGTTTTCATGTGGCCTAAAATTAAGTAGTATTTAGTTGTAGCTGGGAAATAAAAATCCCTGGGGTATTTGTCCTCAAATAAAATACTAATTTGGAAAAGCCATGGAATAACCCCAAGACATTAGATGAAAAAAAAATCATGTTAAACAGAACTCAGTTCCCGTGGTTTTGATATATTTCCCAAGACAAGGCTTTTAAATAGCTACCAATAAACAATTCCTGTCTGTTTTACTTTGTTCCAGTTTAACTTCCTGCTTGCTGTAATTTTAAGATTTTCTTCATTATTTCACAGTATATTTTCCCTAAAAGCAAAGCACAATTTTTTTTCCCTTTTTTTTACATCCTTCAATAGACAAACTAGCTGCCACAGAGACCAAGAAACTAAGGGCAAGGAGGAGGGGAACAGAGGGAATGAGAAGAGGAGACAGAAAATTTCCATCGAATTAGAGAACTGTTAGGTAGAAATGAGCCTGTTACGATAGAGGACTACTGTGTATAGAAAGCAAGTCTAACTAAAGTGTGTTGGCTTGGAACTAATTTCTTAAGTTATACCAATAATTAGACCAACAGAATTGCAGAAATGCTTCACTGTTCTGTGTTTTAGGCAGAGCAGAATGCTGTAAACTCAGACATAAGTTTTGGCTCTAACCCCAGTTCTTCTGAGAGGAGGGCTCACTTAGACTCCGCTAGCCTCAGTTAACTCATCTGTAATAACAATTACCATTCGGTGAAGATTTGGATTACTTATAGTCCAGGAAATTCTCACAACACAAATTTATATTAGGAACTTGAGGTTAAAGGAATTTATCCAAAGTCCCACAGCTAAAATGCTGTCCAGTATTGAGGCCACTGCAAAACTTTCCCCCAACAGTTCATTCTCCCTATTGGAGGATTAGAAGAAATGAACACTAAAGAAAACTTTCAGGTGATAGCATGTTATGACTCTAAGCTTTCCTCAAAAATGGGTGTTTTTAGGTATTCAATTTTAGAAAATGAAATTAGATAAACCAGAGAAGGATGTGATTAAGGACCGAGTTTAAGAATGGGTTTAAAAATTTATGCTTTTATGCATTACTTGAAGATTCAGGACTGAAACACTAAACATAAAGGCTCCTGTATAGTAAATCATTGTTACTTTGATGCAAAATAGCCTAAAAATGTTTCACGGCAAAAACAAAAGTAAATGAGTGTGATTGTAAGTGAGCTGTGATGAAGGGCTCCAGGAGGCCAGGGCAGGATACCACTTTCACCTAGGGTGGCAAAGGCACGTACTATCTTGCTGTTCTCTAATTCTTATTACACAGGGTGAGCTGAAGGAAGTTTTTTTTTTTTTTTTTTTTTTTAAAAAACAAACCTCTAAATTAATAAAACTCTAAATAAAGCAGTTAGGTTCATGATTGAATTTGCGTTAATTTGGATTATACCTGTAATGCTTTATTTTTCAAATCTTTCTCCAATCCAGTTTTCATATGCCAGAGAGGGTCACTTTGCAGAAAGCAAATGAGCCTGTTTAATATCCTGCAGTGCCTCAAGATAGAGTAACTCTGGCATGACAAATGAGGCTTTCCAGAGCTAGTCCCAGCCTCACTTTCCACTGCACTACTCACTGGCTTGCAGACAGGTATATCGAAAACCTATTCCCAACAACTCCTCTACTTTAACATCTTTCCTCTTGATGCATCTGCCTAGCTTACACTTGTTCAAGGCTCAGCCTAATGGCAACATCAAGTTCTTTAAAGTTTTACACTTCACACATACTTTTTACCCAGCCTAGCTTTCCACTAAGCAAAGTTAGGTAGTGGCTTCTTCCACAATACCTCGGGCAGCTCTATAATGCATTATTTTCACAATCTAATTTTTTCTCACCACTATAATACGTCATCCTGGAGAGATGCTGGGTCATTATTATTGTCATTGTTTTCTCAGTAGCAACAGAGTGTTAAAAAATGCAGTAAGTGTTTACGTGTATCAAACATTTAAGAAGTTCGGTTGGCACTAAAGGAACACATCAGAAAAACGGGGGAAATTATCGGATACACATTTGCTAAAAATACTGGAAATTATAATTATAAATTCTGACAAATTATAGTCAAGTTTATCTGTTCTGTGATGATATACAACACTAAGATAAGGAACACCTATACTGCTCAGGTGATCTGTACCCAGCCCATACAACCCATGTTTTAGGAGCAATCCAACTACTAACCAATATTCATGGTAATATTCATGATATTCATGGTAATATCAGTCATGGAAAAAAGTATAGCTTTTGAGAGGTGAAATTATTAATTCTTATGAACATCAGAATATGCACAAAGATTACAATTTTGGGAACATTTCTCCACCTTTATGCCTCTAATATAGCTGAAATTGAACAGTTTTCTTAAAACTTAAAAGTTCTTCTCCTGATGTTTCCCATTTTCAACTTCCTCATCAAGGCAGCACACAAATGTAGAAAAATGCAATATCCTAATATACAACTTGGTGAATTTTTAAAAACTGAATACACACAGGAAATCAGCACCCAGATGAAGGAAAACATCATCAGTGCTACCGGTGCCCTTCCAGTTGCTGCCACACCTGCCATCTTGCTCTTCCTGGTACAGACTGGCTTTGCCTGTTATTAGTATATATAAATGGATTCACAGAATATGTCCTCTTTGAGCGTTAGCTTTTCTCTATTCAAGATTATAAGTGTACGATCAAACTATATCAATGCATACAGTTGTACATTGTTTATTCTCTTTGGTGTATTTATCCTACTTTGTAAATATATCACATATGTTAAATCTATTCAACTACTAGGAATTTTGGCAAGTCTGCTTTGCAGCTATTATCGTTTTTTGATGAACACATGTGTGTAATTCTGTTGGATCAGTTGCCCTATCTGTGAGCAGAGTGAACCTTACAGTTCTTTAATCCAGAATTTCAACCCAGATTTTAATGTCTTAAAATGTCTAAGTTGGGCTAATTTTAGCAACCACTTTAAATTATACTGACAAAGTACATATAACTAACAAAACATACCATACGTCAAGGAGCTATATTTAAAAGATAAAATGTTCTGCTGCAGAGAGTAAAGCAAACATACTCAGTGAGCCACAGAGTGAGAGTTCAAAGATTTTTGCCTAAAATCCACATGAATGGGATTTCAGACCTCTGCTGGTTATGGGCTGACTGGGTGCCACTATGACAGAGTGGCAGACACTAACAGAGGAAGACACTGACATCACCAGAGTGATGGAAGACACTAACATCACCAGAATGGAAGACACTAACATCACCACCCCACAAAATCTAACATACTTACTACTTGTCTCCTCATGAAGAATACTCCTTACCATAGAGCAAGCGAGTATCATTAAACAATAAGGCCACAACATTATTACTGTATTTAAAACTCCATATTTTGACAGAGTCTTCCTTAGTTCATGCACTATAGAACACACCATTAGGAAAAAGTGCCCCCCAGACTGAGTTCTTTGACTGATTCTCAAGACACTAAGAAGAAAGAAATGAAAACATGTTCATTCATAGGTAGCTTCTTTAGCTTCAGATCTCTGGATTTAGATATTACTTCTTAAAGGATGTTTAATACGCAAAGCAATTATTCCAAAGCTTGGTTATCATTTCAAGGTGAAATCATTAGACCCTCCATAGTTTGCTGCTTCTCCCTACATTTTAGGAGGTGGCTGTGACTTCTTCCGGTGTCGAAAACCTTTGTGTTACGGTAGAAGCACATCTGCTTGGTAGCTCTGTGTTAAATGGCAGAGAGAAACACGTGCAACACGGCTGTCCTACATTCCCCCTACTGTTCTATAATCATGTTACAACTAACGGAACCTAAGAGGTTCTAAAAGTAAACTTCAGCTTGACATTAAAGTTTAATTAAGACTTGTAGAAGAGCTGCCTAGAAATAGACATTTATAAAATATTCTGGCTTGGAACCAAAGCATTAGTCACTGAACACCTTTGGGAAAGAAGTTGGCACTTACACAAGCAACAGAAGGTGAAAGCCCTGCATAAACAGCTAGGTTCCAAGACAACAGCAAATTAAAGAGAAACACAATGTTCACGTTTCAGCAGCTAGACTCCTGGTTTATTTCCATTTTGAAGCTATTTTGCTATATTACCATCATTATGATTCTACTTCTTTTTTGACATACACCTTACTGTACCTTCCTTCATGAACAAGGTGCCATCGGGAAGACATCCACAAGCTCTTTATGTGAGACATAATAAAGGACCAGGTGTGCATCTGGAAGTGCGACAAGACTGAACCAGAGCTTTCCCGGGAACCAGAGTTCATTCTTCATTAAAACACGCATAATGCAGGCCTGAAATTTACAAAGCAGCCTAGAATCCTCATAATTTAAACAAATGGAAGTACTGTGTACATACAGAATCATAACTTAATAAGTGAAAGAGGAAAATAGAAAAGTTAGGTATTTCAGCAGTAGGCTCTATGTTTTTCCTGAGTGAATGATATTGTTTTATTTTGCAAGAAATGCTCCCCAGAGTCTGAGTCTAATGAATGCACTTTGTTTTGATAAGATGAATTAGTGCTTTGTTACTAACTTGTTTTTAATCAAGATGCTGAGATAAAATATAATGTAAACTGATAGGTATTTCTGGCAAGGTATCTGGAGCAAGTCTAGCAGCCTGAGTAAAATTTTACCTTCTTTTTACTATTGACTTGAGAAAAAAGAAAACATTAGAAACTTCTCATCAATACACCAGTTACCTGACATCTAGGAAGTCTATTAAAAAAAAGACAAAGTCACTGAGGTCCACAGGAGCACAGTGGAAGAACATGAACTGGAAGACTGAACTAGACTTACTAGCATGTGACAGTGTATAAAGCAGATAGTTCATCTTGCCCAATTATGAGATTAATTAGGAAAATATTCTTACTACATCCATTTTTAAAAGAAGGATTTTGTTCAATTTGCTGCTTGGGGGTAACAGCATAGTGGCAGCTATTGTTCCATGGGTCACTGTCTTGCAACAGTGAT